TTTGTTTTTGTTCTATTAGTCCCTGACTGACTAGGTGAGAGCTGTTCTTATCTGCCCTTTACCCAGTCTCAGGAACCCAGCTCCTTGTAACACATCAAAACAAAACAAAATATACAGACGCTAGAAATCTGCATGAGGTAGAAAATTCTGGAAAGGTTCAAAAGTCAGTATCTATGAAGAACAGAATAAATCTTGTAGATTAATGTCAAGGGGGAGGTCATGGCCTAGTGGTATTAAAACTGGAATGTTAATCCAGAGTCCCACATAACATTCTGGGGACACGGCTTCGAATCCCGCCATGGCAGATGGTGGAATTTGAATTCAATAAAAATATCTGAAATTAAGAATCTAACGATGACTGTGTCAATTCATTGTCAACTGTCGGAAAAACCCATCTGGTTCACTAATGCACTTTAGGGAAGGAAGCTGCCATGTTTACCTGGTCTGGCCTACATGTGTCTCCAATGTGGTTGACTCCTAACTGCACTGTGGGCAATAAATGCTGCCTAGCCAGCGATGCTTTCATCCCGTTAATGAAAAAAAATTTCATCAGAGCTGGACAACAAATTCTGATATGCCATCTATCTGAAATGTTAACTGTTACTCCCTTCCCAGATGCTGCCTGACCTGCTGACAATTTCCAGCATTTGCTGGTTTAACCCTGCAACACTGAATCTTCGCCCTCTTACCTGAAAGCTGACACAGCCCACTGGCAGGTACCGGCAGTCTTCCAACATGTTGAGGTATTCTGCCACCAGTGCCGCAGAATGCACCAGGCACTGTGCCGCTTCAGCGTGGTTACCTCGCTCAGAGTGCTTTCCTGCCATATTCTGCAACCAGGTCAGGCGCAAATCCGGTGATGTCTGGTAACCTTTGGCAATTCTATTAGATCAGGACACAGATGTTAGTCCAAAGCTGGTGGACTTAAGCTGCATTTCAATACTCTCAACCTTGGAGCAAGCAGAAAGAAACAAAGAATTAGTAAAAGAACAGAAGTATGTCCTTACCTGTACATCAGATCCATTAACATTTCCGGATCCTCCTGGTGTTCCTTCATCTTCACTGTGTCTGTGAGAATCATGTGCAGATTAAACACCAAGTCTTGTACCTGAACAGAAAGGAAGTAGGCAGGAAATCACATCAAAATCATTAAAAAAAAACTTCCTGTACTCTAATAAGATAAATAAGAATAACTACTGATCACTTTCAAAATTCATTCAATTACATTAAATACTGCTGAAGACCTTTGTCTTGTGCTTACCAGGAAAAACACAAGACTGCCAAATTTCAAATTATAACAAACTAAAATTGTTGAGAATGTTTGAAATTTGTCATCCTTACATTTGTCATAATGAGAGTAAAACAAAGAAAAAAAAACTTCCGTACCATGTTTCTCTTTTCAGCAACATTCAAGTTCTGTGGACCAAGTGACTCTTTGTATATTTTCAATTAAATATGTCGTGATGTATAATTAACCTCAAATTTCATTCCAGAGGTCCATCTGGCAGTGTCTTCTCATGTCCAAGTAATAGCCAGGAGCTCAGACAGGCTTCCAATGACTTGGTAAGGAAATCATTTTGCTCAGCCCATTTCTGGGACACAGACATCCTGGCACTCATTGATATTCAAAATTGAAGTAGTGATTAAGTTGTGGCAAAATAGTAGGGCATGTTGTGAGGAGATAATTTAAATGTTCTATGGTCATCATCAGTTTGTGACCCGTATATTCAGTGGATTTATGGATATGAGCCTTGTAATTTGGCTACCGACTTCCGTTGGAAAGAATTTTTCCATCTCTCTTTGGTTCGGGGACAGGTTCCAGTGACCAGTCGTGTGTCTGAAATGTTAACACAATTTTTCTCTCTCCACAGATGCTACCTGAACTGCTGGGTACTTACAGCGTTTTCTGATTTATTTATAGCTCAAAGATGTTCTACCTGCTCAGCAAAGGTAGTCTCTCGCAGTTCCAGGTCCTCCTCAGCGTATGTCAGAATGGTCTTCAATGAGCGACGAAGGTATTCTTCATTGAAATTTTGGGAAGTGCCCACCAGCGATGACAAGGACATTGTGACTTGCATTTTCACTCGGGCAAAGTTCTGCAGAAAGACAAAATTGTTCATTTATTTTCCTTAGACTTAAGGTTATTTCAAGTATTATATGCAAGATGAACTCCCAATAAATATTGTGCAAGAGTAGGTGTATGTTCATTCACAAAGAGTGACTATCAGGGTTAACTTCTTCTGTTAACACCACAATTTTCCCCTTACTCTGTTAAGTACAATACTTCCTATTGCAGAATAAAGGCCACTTTAACTTCTAAATTATCACCACAAGTAGCCTCCATTACAGAGTATAGAAGCAATGAGCCACCAGTGATGTGGCTACTGAGTTGCAGAGTTGAAAGTGGCTGCTTTCTGGGTACTGCTGCTGGTTCCTTTCCAGGCCAACAGGACTGCAGTAAGTCCTGGGTTAAAGTCATCCTTGTTTAATGTTACTTTACTGTGTGCAGTTTTGGTCCCAGTATTTAAGAATACTACTCCTGCCCCACCGAACTTATCTCCACCTATCTTGACTCCATTTTCTCCCCCTTGGTCCAGGAACTCCCTACCTACGTCCGTGACACCACCCACGCCCTCCACCTCCTCCAAAACTTCCAATTCCCTGGTCCCCAACACCTCATCTTTACCATGGACGTCCAGTCCCTCTACACCTGCATTCCCCATGCAGATGGCCTAAAGGCCCTCCGCTTCTTCCTGTCCCGCAGGCCCGACCAGTCCCCCTCCACTGACACCCTCATCTGCTTAGCCGAACTTGTCCTCACGCTCAACAACTTCTCTTTCAATTCCTCCCGCTTCCTACAGACAAAGGGAGTGGCCATGGGTACCCGCATGTGCCTGCCTCTTTGTAGGATACATGGAACAATCCCTCTTCCAAAGTTACACTGGCCCTATCCCCCACCTCTTCCTCCGATACATCAATGACTGTATCGGTGCCGCCTCGTGCTCCCACGAGGAGCTCAAACAGTTCATCCACTTCACTAACACCTTCCACCCCAACCTTAAGTTCACCTGGACCATCTCTGATACCTCTCTCTCCTTCCTGGACCTCTCTGTCTCCATCTCTGGCATCCACCTGAAAACCGATATCCATTTCAAGCCTACCGACTCCCTCAGCTACCTAGAATACACCTCGTCTCACCCACCTTCCTGCAAAAAGGCCATCCCCTATTCCCAACTCCTTCGCCTCCGCCGCATCTGCTCCCGAGATGAGGCATTCCACTCCCAGACATCCCAGATGTCCTCATTTTTCAAGGACTGCAACTTCCCCTCCACAGTGGTCGAAAATGCCCTCGACCGTGTCTCATGCATTTCCCGCAACTCATCCCTCACACCCCCCTACCCTCAATAATAACCAAAATAGAATCCCCCTCATCCTCACGTACCAACCCACCAACCTCCGAATCCAACGCATCATCCTCCAACACTTCCGCCATCTGCAATCTGACCCCGCTACCAAAGACATTTTTCCCTCCCCACCCTTATCTGCTTTCTGGAGGGACCACTCTCTCCGTGACTCCCTTGTCCGCTCCACACTCCCCTCTAGCCCCACCACCCCCGGCACTTTTCCCTGCAACCGGAGCAAGTGCTACACCTGCCCCTACACCTCCCCCCCTCACCCCCATCCCAGGCCCTAAGAAGACCTTCCACATCAAACAGATGTTCACCTGCACATCTGCTAATGTGGTATACTGTATCCGCTGTTCCCATTGTGGCCTCCTCTACATCGGGGAAACCAAGCGGAGGCTTGGGGACTGCTTTGTGGAACACCTACGCTCGGTTCGCAACAAACAACTACACCTCCCAGTCACGAACCATTTCAACTCCCCTTCCAACCCTTGGACGACATATCCATCCTGGGCCTCCTGCATTGCCACAATGATGCCACCTGAAAGCTGCAGGAACAGCAACTCATATTTCGCTTGGGAACCCTGCAGCCCAAGGGTATCAAATGTGGACTTCACAAGCTTCAAAATCTCCCCTCCCCCGACCGCATCCCAAAACCAGCCCAGCTCGTCCCCGCCTCCCTAACCATTCCTCCCACCTCATGCCCCACCCCCATCTCCTACCCACTAACCTCATCCCGCCTCCTTGACCTGTCCGTCCTCCTTGGACCAACCTATCCCCTCCCTAACTCCCCACTTACATTCACCTTTACTGGCTCCAACACCGCCTCTTTGACCTGTCTGTCTCCTCTCCACCTATCTTCTCCCTTATCCATCTTCTATCCGCATCCCCCTCTCTCCCTATTTATTTCAGAATCCCCTTCCCCTCCTCCATTTCTGAAGAAAGGTCTCGACCCGAAACGTCAGCTTTCCTGCTCCTCTGATGCTGCTTGGCCTGCTGTGTTCATCCAGCTCTACACCCTGTTATCTCAGATTCTCCAGCATCGGCAGTTCCTGCTATCTCTTTAAGAAGGATACGCTGGGTTTGGAGGCTGTTCGAAAGAGATTCACTAGGCTGACCCCTGGGCTGAAGGGATTGGCTTATCAAGAACAGCTAAACAGATTAGGCTTTTATTCAGTAGGGTTTAGAAGAATGAAGGGATATCTTATTGAGACATCCAAGATTCTGAGCAGACTTAACAAGGTAGATGTTGAGAAGATGTTTCACTGGAGGGGCAGTCTTGAACTAGGGACATAGTTACAGAATAACTAAAGACACACATTAAAACTCAGATGTGAAGGAATTTCTTCTTCCAGAAGGTAGTGAATATCTGGAATACTCCACTCCAGTCGAAGTCTAGATCACTGGAAATATTTAGAGATGGATGGCTATGCTGAGCCAGCACAAAAGAAGAGTTGAGGCCTAGGGCATGTCTACCATGATCTTATTGAAGGGCAGGGCAGGTTTGAGGGGCTGAATGGTCAAATTCTGTGCATATTTCTTATGTTTTTATGCTTCAAAGTGGGAATGTTAATATGGCCTGCAATTGCGTTTTGTGTATGAGATTCATTTTAACACTGGCTCCTGCATACCCAGCTGGCATCCCTCCCACTCCTGGTCTCAGATTTGTGACCCCCTGTCCCTGAAATAACCCATGTAGCGCTTACTCTGCTTGGATTTGCATTTCCTTTCAAAATCCAGGTTCAATCCAAAGCTGCAGCTCCAATGCCACGGAAGTGAGAGTCTAAATGGTTCGAAGTGCTGGGGCTTGTTTAATCCATATTTTAAAAAAAATTCATTCGCAAGATGTGGGCACCACTGACTGGCCACGTTCATTGCCCAGAGGCCAGTTGAGAGTCAACCCCATTACTGTGGGTGCAGAGTCATTTGTGGGCCAGACCAGGTAAGGATAGCAGTTTCCTTCCCTAAACGGCATTCGTGAACCAGATGGGGTTTTCCTGACAATTGACAATGGTTTCATAGTTATCTTTAAACTCTTAATTCCAGATTTCTTTTGAATTCAAATTCCACCATCTGCCATGGGTAGGATTCGAACCCAGGTCCCCAGAACATTAGCCAGATCTCCAGATTACTAGTCTATCAATAATAGCACTAGGCCATCACACCTCATCCTGTATTTAAATGACTTTAAAAGTTGTTTGCACCTCACTGCTCTTCTGTAAAGCCCTCACTAACACTGCAATTTCAGGAGAAGGAAGAGGTAAGTGAGCACTTTTAAAAACTAACGAAGGACCAGGAGGATCAGTGAGCAGGAAAATCACCGACCAGAGGGAGGTACCTGTATTGTACACATGAAGGTACATTTTATTTCATACTTTTAAACACATTCTAAATTTAATTTCATTTACTATCTGGGAATGCAGCATTGCAAAATGTTACAACTTAGAGGGTGTAGTGCTTTAATATTGTCATTTGCTGATAAGGAATGTCCTCTAGAACCTAATTACAGTCTTACAACCGGATCTCATGGACTATCACTGAAAAGTCATGATCATCAGGAACACAGCCAGAATTTTAAGTGAAGACTCATTGTACACAATTCAAATTAAATCCCTGGCTGACTTGGAGTGATGGGAATTAATTTGTGTCTAAACACGTCCAACTTTGTGATCAGTTCATCAATTCACCAGAACAATTATATTTGAAAAAAAATACAGAATCATAAAGTGATCACTCAATCTACCATTCATTATTAATTTGGCGACTCAACTGCTGAGCACACCACTGTTACTTCACCTACTCAATGCACAATTTATCCTCACTCAGTGCACCTATTTGATTAAGATTATTAATAAGCTTGTAAAATAGGCAGATGATTGAGAAACAAGTTCAACTTAAATAAATGAGGTAGCATATTTTAGTGTAAAAAATAGGCAGGCCACATTACCTGTAAGCAGAGAGTCTAGGGTGGGGTAGGAGAATAAATACACCAGTCATTATAAGTTGCAGCACAAGGTTTGCAAAGTCATTAAAAAAAATCCAAACCAAGCACAGGATTTATTTCTAGAGACATTACTGAACAAAATGGAAGGTATACTGAACCTGTACCAAATCTTGATTAGACGACACAGAGTACTGTGTGCAGTTTTGGATCACCATATTTTAAAAAGGATGAAGAGGACATAGAGAAGATTTACAAGGATGAGATCAGAAATGTAAATTGTGGATATACATATCAGAAAAGAATGAAAAGGCTGTGTCTCCTTTTGGAAAAAGGCTCAGGGATGACCTGTAAGAATTATTTAAAGTTATCAAAGATTTAAATAGATGAGACACGGAAAATATTTTCTCTTGTGGGGAACAGCATAACTAGAAGGGATCACCACTTGTACAGTCATGAAGAAATCCAATAGGAAATGCAGAAGAAATGTCTTTATCCAAAGAGCTGCAAACAACTTGCAACTCTCCATAGGGAGCAACTGAAATGAATCGTATATATAGATGCATCTGAGGGGTGCCTAAACCAGCATATGAAGGTGATGAGAATAGAGGGTTATGCTGATAGCTTAAAATGAGGAAAGACACGTGGAGAGGCTTGAATGGAGCATAAACGCTGCAGCACAGAGAATTACCTTGGCTACTTAATGTATAACGGGTAGACAGGGTAGTGAAAAAGGCGTTTGGTATGCTTGTCTTTATTGGTCAGTGCATTGAGTATAGGAGTTGGGAGGTCAAGTTGTGGCTGTACAGGACATTGGATAGGCCACTTTTGGAATACTGCATTCAGTTCTGATCTACCTGCTGATAGGAAGGATGTTGTTAAACTTGAAAGTGTTCAGAAAAAATTTACAAGCATGTTGCCAGGGTTGGAGGGTTTGAGCTATAGGGAGAGGTTGAATAGGCTGGGGGCTATATTCTCTGGAACATCAGAGGCTGAGGGGTGACCTTATAGAATTTTATAAAATCATGAAGGGCATGGATAGGGTGAATAGACCAGGTCTTTTTCCCAGGGTAGGGGAGTCTAAAACTAGAGGGTATAGGTTTATGGCGAGAGGGGAAAGATTTAGAAGAGGCCTGTTAAGTACCACTTTGGAAACCTGCGCTGATTGGAACAATGACAAATATACACAGTGAGCAAGCAGAAGTCTGTAACTGGGTTGTTCAGGAAAAGTTTTCTCTCAGAAATGTGATTAATATGTATGTTAGAATGATTCCAAACGAATCAAATTACTGACTGTATTATTGCAAGATTACCATTCTTCAGATGATCAGATCTGCACATTAAAGCTTGCATTTAGATCCCACCTTAAGGTTAGGATGGAGAGCGCTGCAGAAATTTTCCCACGCTGTTTTAACATCATCACATTAAGGACAGTGTTGATTCCAGTTTGAGCTACATTCCCTCAAATTATAACCAAACTTGCTGTTACACAGTGCTGTTCAAAATATGGAGCATTTTCAAAGTGTGGTCACTCTTGTAACATAGGGAAACACAGAATATAGTTTGCACAGAATCAATGAAGTGCTAACTAGATTATCTGTTTTAATGATGCTAGTTGAGGAATAATAATTGACTGAGAGAGCTTCCCTGCTCCTCTTCCAATGATGAATTAGGATTTTTTTATGCCCACCTGAGAAGGCAGATGAGATGTCAGTTTTATATTCTATCCAAAAGAGAACACCTCCAACAGTGAGGCATTCCCATTATACAGTACTGCACTGAAGTGCGGATATTTTTTGCTCTCAAGATTGCAAATACAATCCATAAATTTCTGACTCAAGCACGACTGCTCCCACTAAGTTACAGATAACAGCTCAATTCTATGCCAATTGTGTGAACTAATCACAACTATAAAAATGCACTCCTTGCTGTGCCAATACTGCATTTTTGCTATTTCACACATCATCTCTGACCTATGGTATTCTGAAGTGAGAACTTAATGGCAAATGAGGGCAGCTTTTTGCTTTAGATTCATGACTGAAGCTAGCAGAATCTACTTTACATGCGGATAGAGGCAACTTCCATTCAGTGTCAGAATTAACATGAATCAGGCTCCAGGCACAAATGTGATATGTTTTACCCGAGTGGATCATTCAGATTACTGGCCTGATAATCAATGCTCACTCTCCACTGTTCCACACAGAAAAGACACAAAATGTACTTACATTGCCAATCTCAAAGTTCTGCCTCATCAGAAGGTAGAGTGAGGCGCTGGCATGTGCTCGGATGGTGCCCACACTGCTGCTGCAGTGTCGCAGGAGCCTTAAACAGAGATCAGCGCAAAGCTCAGTGTCCTCCTCAAACAGCATTTCAGGAAACTACAGAAAGATAAGCAGGACAGCAATCAATCACAGAATGTGGAGATCAGCCCAGCACCTTCTGACAGAGGACCAAGTCACAGCTACACAGAGTGTTAACATAGGAATGGCTGCTTACTGAGACAGGGTTAAACTCAGCCTTTGCCAACAGGTGGGGTGAAACCAGAAGATCCATTGGCCTTGGGACTCAACTAGTCCATACAGACGTTGAGGGTAGAAGTAATGTTGGGGAGCAGAAGCAATTTTAAGCTAAAAATAATCTGTAAAATTCCCAAAGGCTGGTCATGCTTACCTTAAAGACCAATGCCCGCTGTGTGGCAAAGCAGTGTTGCAGGAAGAGAGCACTCTGGTTGGAGGCCATGGCGTGTAGAATGACCTTCAGCACTCCACTTAATACACTCTCTTTCGACTCCGATACCATAACTGTCTGAGTGACCAAAAACAATACAATCACGAGAGATACTTTTATAATGCAATTGATTTGTATATTATCTACACCAATCCTGTCTCTTAATTTCACTCTTCCCAGCATTACCTACACATATTTAATGCTTCTGATAGGTAGGAAAATGAGTTGAGAAGAGCATATAAGGAGCATACACAAAGGATATAGATAGGTTAAACGATTGGGCAAAGATCTTACAAATGGAGTAATATGTAACGAAGCGGGAAACCGTCCATTTTAGCAGAAAAAAATAAAAAAGCATTTAATCTATTTGGCAAGAGGATGCAGAGAGATCTGGATGTCATAGTAAATGACGCACAGAAAGTAGGTATGCAAGTACAGCAAGTAAACAGGACAATTAACAGAATGTGAGATAACAAGGTGTAGAGCTGGATGAACACAACAGGCCAAGCAGCATCAGAGGAGCAGGAAAGCTAACGTTTTGGGAATGGACCCTTCTTCAGAATTTAGCATTTCTGAAGAAGAGTCCAGACCTGAAACATCAGCATTCCTGCTGAAAATGCTGCTTGGCCTGCTGTGTTCATCCAGCTCTACACCTTGTTATCTCAGATTCTCCAGCATCGGCAGTTCCTACTATCTCTGAACTAATAGAATGTTATGTTTTATTGCAAAGGGAACTGAATGCAACAGTAAGGAGGTTATGCTTCAGTTATACAGGGCACTGATGCGACTGCATCTGGAATTCCATGCATAGTACTGATCATTGTATTCATGGAAAGATGTTAATGTGTTGGGAGGAGTTCAGAGAGGTTTACTAGTCCTAGAATGGGTGGATTGCCTTATGAGGAAAGGCTAACAGACGAGGCCTATATCCTCTGCAGTTTAGAAGGATCAGAGGTGACTTAATTGAAACATACAAGATCCTGAGGGAACTTGAATGAGTGGGTGTGAAAAAGAAGTTTCCTCATGTGGGACAATCTACAACTAGGGGTTATGGTTAAAATTGGGGTGGGGACATTTGAGACACAGATATAGGAAAAAAATTTCTCTCAGAGGGTGTGCCTTTGGAATTCCCTTCCTCAAAAGGCAGTAGATGCAGAATCTTAAAATGGCCGAGCTGATAGATTCTTGATAACCAAGGGGATGAAAGATTATTGGGGGTATGCAGAAATGTAAAGTTGAGGTTAAAATCTGATCAGCCATGAACTTTTTGATTGATGGAGCAGGCTTGGAGGAACGAAAGGCTTACTCTTGTTCCTCGTTTGAATCATTTACTTCATTCTTAACTAAATATTCATAATTCATTCTTTCGTCCTTTACATATCATGGGCCCTCTGATGACCCAAACCTATACAGAGCAGATTCACTAAACCCATTCTATCCTAAATGTGAAGCTTCTCTGTTCTCCAACTCATGACAACCACTCACAGCAGATCCTCCAACCCATTTTATTTAAAAACAAGCAGCTTCAATACCAATCATCCATCGACATTACAGAACGACACTTGTCCTTTACTCTCATGTAAGTCAAGGCTCTCAGATTCTTACCTTGGCACTGCCAGGAACTAACCATTCTGAAACTACTCCCAAAAGCCAACAAGCCAGACAAGCTGTTTCTTTACCTGAACAATAATTTCAAGTGTGTCCAAAACTATGAGGTTAGCTTCAGTAACCAGATTCCCATCTACGAGGGTATCGTGCTCCACTTCAGCCTTTGACCTGTGGAGGCAAAAGAGACAAAGAGAGACAGTGGGAGAATGCGAGTGGGAGAGCACGAGAGAGACAGAGCAAGCGAAAGACAGAGAGAGAGAGACAGACAGCAAGAGAGAGAGAGAGAGAGACAGACAGCGAGTGAGAGAGGGCGAGAGACAGACAGCGAGAGAGAGAGACAGACAGACAGCGCGAGAGAGACAGACAGCGAGAGAGACAGACAGACAGCGCGAGAGAGAGAGACAGACAGCGAGAGAGAGAGACAGACAGCGAGAG